CCTGATCTTTCTCTCTTCCCACAAATACTATATTTTGCTGGTGTTCAGATACCCATGTCATGTGGGCACTAGTTGGTATAAACATCCTTCTTGATATTAACTTTGCTGAATCCCACATTTTATTCAAGAAAAAAAATTGAATTCCTGAGCTGGATGTTTGATGACACACACCTTTAATCCCATCACTTGAGAGATGGCTGTGGATGCTAGACCAGCCTGGTCTACATGTTGAGTTCCAGGACAGCCCGAGAGACCCTGTCTCCAAAAAAAAAAAAGCACCCCTTTTGATTTGCTCAGTGACCCACTCATTCAGGAGTGTCCTTTGCAAGTTTGCTCTTCTTGACTTCTAGTTTTATTCTGTGTAATCAGAAAAGCAAGTTCCTTACTTTCCTTTTTTATGGCTTATTCTGGATTTGATGTGGAATCTAGTCTGCAGACAGTTCCATATGCTGATGAATAGAATTTGTGCTCTTCAGCTGTTGTTTATCTCTGTTAAGTTTTTTTGCTATATAATACAGGGTAGCTCTGATGGTTCTTGATATTTTTGGGGCAGAGTTGAATCCATTAATTAAAACCTCATGAGTACCTCATCATTGTTGTACTGGAACCAGTTTCTTCCAATAGTGTTTGTTTCATACAATAGTGTGCTCTAACATTAGGTAAATATGAATTTATTACTTTTAAATTTCCTTGTTGAGTTGATTCATGAATTCATTGGCCTGCTATTTATTGATTTTTCTTGAAAGTCTCTTTTGTCAGAAAAAAGTAGCTGCTGTTGTTACTTTATATTTACTTTCCATCCTTTGCCTTTCACTCTGTCCTTCCTGGTAAAGGGACTTTTTTCTAGGCAGCATATTCTTGGGCCTCATTTGTCTGTTTTTTTGTTGTTGTTTTTGTTTGTGTGTTTGTTTTCTTTAAATCTTTTTTTTTTTCCGATTTATTTTACATACCAGCCAGTTCCCCCTCCTTCCTAGGCAGGGTCTTACTGTTTAGTGCCTAGACTATCCTCACTCAAAATCTTTTTTTCTCAGGCTCCTGAGTGCTGATTTACAGGTATGTATTACCATACCCAATAGATCTTGATTTCTAGTCCATTTAGACAAACTGTATCTGTTGGGGATGTTGTTGTTGTTGAGATGAGGCTTGACCATGCACCTCTGGCACAGCAGTCCTCCAGACTCAGCCTCCCGAGTGCTAGGGATTACAGGTATGTGTTACCAGGACAAGCTCATTCTGTATCTTTTAATAGTAATTTACTCAGTTTGGCTGTTGTTCTCTTTTACTTGTTTTGAATATTCTTTGTTCTTTCTCTAGTTCATTTTCATGGTTTGGTTATGTGTACTATAAACAGTATTCTTACCTATTTCTCCTGTGTACCTCTCTCCTAGTGGGGTTTAGCTTTCTGTGCTTCTGTTATAATCATCTTTTGTAAGCTGGTCTAGTAGTCCTGGGTTTCTTCAGTGTCTTCTTTTTTGAAAGATTGGTTGGTTGTGGTTCTTCAAAATGGGACCTTGCCGTGAAGCTGTAGTCTTAGTGCCCCATAACTCATTATGTAAGCCAGATTGGCATCAGGCTCATTGAAGATCTACCTTTCTGTCTCCTAAGTGCTGACATCACAAGTGTGGATGACACACTCAGCTTTGATGAGGATCTTTTAGAAGACCCAAGTTCAGGTTCCATTTTTTATGGTCAACTCTTGGGTTTTCTTAGCTGGTTTGGGGTAGTTTACTGGTGTTGAGTGTATTTTCTTCTTACTTAATAAGCTCTTCATTCTCTCTCTCTCTCCTGCTTTTGGTTGGCCACCAGCTACCCCCTCTTTCTCTCCCCTCAATAAACTCCACGTGGGCGCTGAGTCTCGTGTTTGTGTTTCTTAGGCATTAGCTGCAGCAAAAGAACAACATTGGTGCTGAAACCCAGGCGGGCTCTCCTTGAGGGTCACTGCTGGCCGTCTGCTGGCAGGCGGCCAGCCAGAGACACTCGGGATCCTGTTTCAGATACCAGCAGTCCACCTTCATTCCCCCTCCCCCCCAGCCCCCCCCCCCCCCGTTCGCTGGAAATACCACCCCACACCGGCTTCAAATAGTTCTCAAAGAGACGCCAGAGCCCCATACTGTCAGAACTGTGGTGAAACAACCATCTACCAGGACGTGGCAGCACCCCAGTCTTCCGCGGATCCCCCAAAGACTATCTACGCCCCCAATTCAGCTGGAAGCAGTCTCTAAAACTCAACGTCCTTGTTCCCTAACCTGCCACGCCCAACCCCCACCTTTTTAATAACAGTAAGAGGTGGGAATGTTAGGAACTAGCAGCCAGCTGACCCCGCCCCAACGATGGGCGGGACGCTCATGGCCACGTCATCCCTACCTCAGCTTTACCTGGCTTCAGCTTTACCTGGTGCTTACCTGGCGGCCAGAGGACTCAGTTATGCATGCACAAGTTCCCCTTTAAAAGCAAGTGCCCCACACCTCTCTCTCTCTCTCTCTCTCTCTCTCTCTCTCTCTCTCTCTCTCTCTCTCTCTCCCTCCCTCCCTCCCTCCCTCCCTCTCCCTCTCCCTCTCCCTCCTGCTTTCAGTTGGCCACCAGCTACCCCCTCTTTCTCTCCCCTCTCTCAATAAACTCCACGTGGGCGCTGAAAAAAAAATAAGCTCTTCGTTTCCAAAATTTGTTTGGATTATTTTTTCTTTAAATTTTCTTTATGTGGTATTTCAAACCTTATAGGTTTTTAATTGAGATGTTTTGTAATAATTATTTTAAATTCTTTGTCAAGCATTTCATCCATTTGAATTCTTTGGAGTCTCTTGATAAAGACTTCTATGTTTTGGGGTCAATGAGGTGGCTCAGTGGGTAAAGGGTCTTCATGCCTAAACCTGGCAAGTATTCCATTCCAAAACCCTTAGAAAGTGTCAACTCCAGAGTTATCCTATAACCTTCACATGGTGCCACAGTACATGCCATGTAATATGCATGTACACAAAATAATAATACAAAATTTTAAATAAAAAAGTTACTAAAAACATTCTTTTGGAGCTATATCACCTTGGGGTATTTTTTCCTCATATTTGTTGTATCCCTTCACTGGGGTTTGTACATCTAGTAGATAGGTATCTATACCACTTTTACAATGTGCTTAAGAAGCTTTCTCTTAAAAATGTGTCTTGGGGTCACAGTCATTGGTGATTTGTGTCTAGCTGGACACCGTACTGTCATTTCACTGTAGTTTCTTTGACTGTGGTTAGTGACTTTGGGCACAATGGCCTCTACCCAATAGTAAAGGTTTCCTGGATTATTTCAGTGCTAACTCTGCTACTAGCAAGAGGTGTCTGAAACCATCAATCTCCAACAAACCCTGAAAAGAAAGACACTTGAAAGGATTCAGTGCATCTTCTGTGGCACTCATGGAGGCTTGACTGCCCTACAGACAAGAGGCACAGGTAGAGCAGGAATGGGAACTACCAAGAAGAGTAGTGACAAAATCTATTTGTTTTGCTCCCTGTGGCTTTAGTGGCAGTGTCTGATTGAGAGCAGGGCTAATAGTCGAAGTTGGGCAGTGTTCTCTGATCCCCTGTATCTGGGGATGAGGCAGCAGCTGGGACCAGAGTTGCTCAAGACCCCCTCATGACAGCCAGGCTAATGATATTGATTTTCCCTGTCCTGACAGTGACAAGCTCCTAGCTTTGACACAGTGAAGTCAAATCCATATATATCTCAGGGCAAGCACCCTGATAACCTGCTTCTTAAAGACAGCGCCTTTAGTTGTGCAGATCACAACAGTATAGTGTACTCAGCAGGCTTAGATAATAGTTGCCCTACTGAGCCAAGTTGAATTTGGCAAGGCAGCTAAACCCTATACAGTGCAACAGAATGTCTGTGGAAGCCCAGACATGAGAATAGCAGGCATCTCTGAACCCCATTATTAGTCCAAATTCTCATCTCACTTCTCAGAATGGCCCCTGACATGGCACCATGAAGGCACCTGGGAGAGATGGTTATGTGATTCTACTGTGCATATTTTAGATTACTCATCCAAGTGTGTTGCTAGCCTGAGAGCATGGTAAACCTCCGAGTAGCTAGAATTGATAGCATCTCATGGCTAGTTTGCTGGGACACGTTGACCCTTACTTCTGCAAAAACTCTCTCTTCCTGGACTGTGGAGCTATGGTAGCAGGTACAAGAGAATTTATATGTGCCCTCACTGCACTCTTGTTCCAACTATCTGGATCCTCCAAGTTTCAGTCTTGTTGATTTCCTCTGTTCTCACATGATCATTCACTTCAATATATACGTATTCCTGTTACTTTGGTTATTTGTGGAAGAGCAGTTGAATACTAGGCAGCAGTCTACTCAGTAATCTTACATACTCTATTAAAATTGCATACTCTATTAAAATCTTAGTGCCTATAATGTAGCTTGTCTTGCATGTGCAAAGCTTTAAGTTCAGTCCATAGCACATTAAAAAAGAAAAAGTTTTCTAATAAAAGTCTTGCTTCTTGCTTATTGACTCCATTACATATAGTCAGTCTTTAGAGAAATGTATCAGAAGTGTAAAATGAAAAAAGCATGCAATTGGTATTAAATGCCTTATGACATATTATTTAATGTTTTAAAAATCAAAATGTTAGTTTCATCCTAAAAGGTAATCTTGCTTTTTGTTTGTCATCTCTTTTTTTCAAGTACTATAATCCAAACATTCTGTGTAGATTTTTCAAAGCTCCTCCGTTACCTTCATTCTACAAATAAAAATTTTATTCATTTTTTGCTTTTATCCTAAGAATTTTTGTTGGCTTAATGAACATGTTATAGGAATATAGATATCTTTAATTATGGAACAGGGTTTGATTGGTCTTTCAGTCTTCTGAGGCTTCTATCTTAGTAAAGCATTTCTCTAGGAATTTTGTTATTTCAGAAAAACATCTTCCTCAGGAGATTCACTGTGGCAAGTTTAAGATGTATCCTCCATCTCTTCTCATTTCTTCATATGCATTTACTATTCTTGGTTTCAGGTTAACACCAATTCTGGGCATTCAGAAGCATTCTCGGAAAAATGTGGTATTTACACAGTTTATAGCCATCCTGCTGAAAGAACTGCATTTAAAATGTGAAGATCTTGAACATTTAACCATAATATTTAGAACCAGCTGCTAAGAAGCATGGTGAGTTGGATTGTTTCTATTTTGTTACCTATGTGAGCTTTTGATAAGTGCTCATCGGCCAGTGTTCTCCCACTGAATTATGCCCCCAGCCACAAGTTTAAAATTTTAAAAACCAAGTGCAAACCTCAAGCTGACACCAGTTTGCTAAAGACTCAACTACCTCATAGGTCTCAGATGTCTCTGCTGCTGCTTGTCCACTTTAACTCTGTGCCCATCCTTGTTGCAAGTCTTCCTTCAAAGACTAGCAGTTCTGGGTCAGATATCCCAGGATATTCTCAGGCTGGCCCACTTGTTCCTCCTGATCAGATTTCTTCCCAGGAAGTAGCAGTTGACTGCAGTAGCCTGTCATGAGCCTTCTCAATCTGCTGCCCCTATTCCTGGCCAGCATCTTAGTTACCTCAGTGCAGACAAGCAGGTAAATGTGCACGTCTGCTTTTGTTGAATTTATACCTGCTTCCAGAAACACAGTTCAAGTCTTTGCCTCTTGCAAGCTGGCCATTAGGATGTCCCTTTAACTGCACCTTTTCCTGCCTTTTCTCATTTCATATGCCCCTTCATGTGCTCAGCTAAATACAGATTTAATATTAAAATAGAAAAACTTCTTGGGAAGTGTTTTCTTAACTCAAAATTCTCTTTATTATAAAAGCCAAGCAACACAGAAATAAGCTATGTAATAAGGTCTTCCTTATTTGGCAATTGGAGGTAAGGAAATGTCCGCATCCATCCCCCTCCTTCTTTGTCTCCCTCTCCTCTCTCTCCTTTGTCTAGAGGTAGGGCCCCAAGGCGTTTTCCCCCTTCCATGTTAACATACCTATTAGTGCTGTTCTTGTTTAGGCAGCCATATTTATTGACATATCATGGATGAAGCTTCTGTCATTTCTAGCAGACACAACCCCTCCAGCTCTTACAGTCTTCCCATGCCCTCTTAAAAGATGTTCCCTGAGCCTTAGTGCAGGAGCTGTGTTGTAGGTCTATCTGTTGCTTACTGTATTTTGAGCAGTTTGGTTTTCTATGGTAGTCTTCGTCTACAGCTAAGAAAAGTTTCTTTGGTGAGGAATGAGAAGCTATACTTATCTGTGGGTCGAAGTATTTAGAATATATTTAGGGATTATGTTGGTTTAAAAGTAGCAGTAATTCTTTAAGATTCATGACCTCACTATCCCTGGGTAGTTGACTAGGTTTCGTGTACAAGGCATGATTTTATTTTCCTCCTGTTAAATGGACTTTAAGACTAATTGACAGCTGCTGGTTACCTCTAAGATAAAGAGTGCCACTATTGCCCCCTTGGGGGATAACTTGCCATGCTGGTGATTGTTGTAGTTCATAGTAGGCATCACAACTGAATAACACTTTTTAAAAATATTTTTATTTACATTAAAAACAATCTTCTTTTACATACCAATCCCAGGACCTTCTCCCTCCCATCCTCCCACCACCTCCCCATCCCATCTCAGGGAGGCCTCCCATGGGGGAATCATCAAAGTCTGTCACATCATTTAGGGAAGAACCAAGGTCTTCTCCCTCCTCTCCCTCCATACCCCCATATCTAGGCTGAGAGAGTATCCCTACATAGGGAATGGGCTCTAAAAAGCCATTGAATACCACTTTTGATTGTCACCCCTCCCCCGTACTATGAAAGCTTTTCAGTTTTATGGAAAATCACTTGTCAATTTTTGGTTTTGATTCCTGGGCAAATGGAGTCCTTAGTCAGGAAGTCCTTTCCTGCACCTGTATCATTTAGGGTACTGCCTGTGTTTTATTCCAGCAGTTTCAAGTTTCACATTGAGGTCTTTGATCCATTTGGGATTAGTTTTGTGTGAGATGATAGATTCAGGCCTAATTCATTCTTCTACATGTGGACATACAGTTTTCCCAGCACCAATTGTTAAAGATGCTTTTTATTCAGTGTCTTTTTGGCATCTTGTCAAATATTAAGTGACTGAAGCTACATTTGGGTCTTTGATTCTTGTTCCATGGCCTACATGTTTTGTTTGTTTGTTTGTTTTGTTTTGTGCTAGTACCATATTATTACCATGTCTCTATATTATATCTTGAGATCTGGAATGGTAATATGTCCAATGTTGTTCTTTATGATCAAGATTGTTTTAGCTATCCAGGGTCTTTCTTGAGTGGTTCCATATGAATTTAATGGTAGGTTTGTTTGTTTGTTTGTTTCTATTCTTGTGAAGAATGAGATGGGAGCTTTGAGTGGGATTGCATTGAATCTGTAAATAACTATTAGTAGAATGGTAATTTTAACAATGTTAATTCTACCAAAGTTTGAAGTTACAATTGTAGAGGTCTTTTACCTCTAAAGTTTCTTGGGTTTATTCCTGGATATTTTCTTTAAAGCTATTGTGAATTGGAGTGTGTTTATTTATGTTTTTGTTGGTGGTGTATAGAAAACCTATTGATTTGTTCAAGTTGATTCTGTCTTCTGCCAGTTGCTGAAATTGTTGATCATTTCAAATGTATAGTATCATCTGCTATGGGGATAGTTTGACTTCTTTCCTTATTTGTATCCCCTTAATTTTCTTATGCTGCAGCTAGGACTTTCAGTACTGTAAAAACAATTTTTCTGCATCTATTGAGATGGCCAGTGTGATTTATTACATTAATTGACATGTATTGTCGAACTAGCTCTGCATCTCCTGGATAAAGCCAAGTTGGTCATGGTGGATAATCTTTTTAATATATATATTTGGTTTGCAAGTATTTTGTTGAAGATTTTTTTAATTGATGTTCATCAGGGATATTGGTCTATAATTTTTTACTGTTGTCTTTACCTGGTATTGTCTTTAGTATTAGGGTAATACTAGATTTGGGAGTACAGGTTTTTAGTTTTTTGAGACAGTTTGTGTAGCCCTGGCTGTCCTGGAACTCACTCTGTGTACCACACTGGCCTTGAGTTCCGCAATCCACCTGCCTTTGCTTCCCAAATGCTGGGTTGAAAGGTGTGCGCCACCACCTGGCAGAAGTATAGATTTTAAAGTATTCCCTTAAAACATCCTGAATTTCTTTTGTGTCTGTCGTAATGTTTCCCTGTTCTTCTGATTCTGTTGTCATTTCTTTCATTTGGCTAGCTGAGCCAACAGTCTGTGGAAGTTATTTATCTTCTCAGAGAACCAGCTATTAGACTCATTCTATGTATTGTTTTCTGTTTCAATTTCATTAATTTGTCATCTTTTTTTATTTCTTGCCATCTATAGGATTTAGGTTTGGTTTGTTCTTTTTTTTTTTTTTTTTTTTTTTTTTTCCAAATTCTTGATTTGTATCATTTATGTGTGTTCTTTCTGATTAACTCACAACTATAAATTTTCATCATAGGACTGCTTTCAAGTGTCTCGGGGGTTCTGTTGTATTTTCATCTAGCTACAGTAATTTTTTTTTCTTTTCTTCTCTGAAACATTATCATTTAGTAATGAGTTGTTTAATTTCCATGAGTTTATTTGCTATTGAGTTTAAAGTTTTACTGCACAATGGTCAGATAGAGGGTACAAGGAGTGGTTTCAACCTTTCTCAAATTGTTAAATTTTGTTTGGTATCCAAGAAGGTGGCCTATCATAGATATGCTTTTGTAGGTTGCTGAGTAGAATGTATATTCTTCAGTGTTTGGGTAGAATAGTCAGTAGATATCTGCTAAGTCATTTGATGTATGATGTTAATTAACCTGACATTTCTCTGTTTTTTTTTTTTTTTAACCTGTCTATTGGAGAAAGTTGGGTATTGAAATCACCTACTATTAATGGATTAATGTTTATCTCTGTCTTTAGTAGTTTTTTTTTTTTTTTTATGAAATTGAGTGTCCTTGTGTTTGATGCATGATTGTTACTTGGTTAACTGTTCCCTTGTTTAGAATGAAGTGTTCCTCTTCATCTCTGATTAGTTTTTGTTTGAAGTTCATTTTGTCAAGTATCAGAGGAGCAATACTGCTTATTTTCTGGTCCCAGTAGATTGAAGTACTGCTTTCCATCTTTTTACTCTAATGTGGTACCGTCTTGAAAGATGAGTTTCTTACAAACAGAAAGATGGATTTAGTTTCATAATTCATTCACCCAGCCTGTGTCATTTGATTATTACCAAAAAGTGTGTGTTGGTTTCAATCTTTTGTTTTCTCACTCATACTTTCTTCATGTTCCAGTAATTACAGCTTCATTTGTTTCCTTTCTACAGTCTCTTGGGTGTATTTATTCTTAAGTCTAAAGTATTGCAGCAGTATTCTGTGTGGGGCTGGTCTGCTAGATATGAATTCTTTCATACTGTTTGGATCACGGAAAAGCTTTGTTTCTCCTTCAACTATGGCAGATATGTGGCTTACTGAAGAGTAAGCAATAAGTGATTTTAGATCTGTTTGTCGTAGGCAAATTGAACTAGTTATAATTCCTCACAGAGAGAGAGGAGAATAAACGGATAGGCTAGTTTTGCTTGGCATATGTTACTTTTTTTTTTTTTTTTCCTCTTACAACTTTCAATATTCTTTCTTTGTTCTGTATATTTGGTATTTTAACTGTAATATGCCATGAAGAGTTTATTATTTGTTCTGTGTACTTACTACTGTCTTTCCTTAGTTTAGGAAATTTTCTGTGGTCTTGGAGATCTGATCTGTGTGTTGGCCTAGGATGTTTTTCCTCACCTATGCCTATAATTTGAAAGGTTTGGTTTTGTCATAATTTTGCGCTGCTCCTGTGTTCCTTTTCTGTGCTATAAATCATATTCTTTGTTGTATGGTCTAATTCCTCTACTTGGAGTCCTGATACTCTGTATTCTGCTTGTAAGGCTTTCTCTTGAGTTTTCAGATGCCATCTTATTCGGCCCTGTGTCTGTATTTTCTTAGACAGCACTCAGGCATTTATTATCCTTTTCATAAAATTTATGGTTCTTTTAAGTTCTGTGTTCTTGGGTTCATCTAAGTAATTCTCATGAGCGAACATTTATATAGGAGTGGTTTTATGGGAGATATGTTGTCTTGGTTTTTCATATCAGTTTTGCTTTTGTAATGGACCTAGACATCTGATCTTGGTTGAATGAAATGATGGCCTGCTTTTGATTGGGCCAGTACAGGAACTGCATGATCAGAGCTAGGTGACATAAAGGTGGTACATGCTCTTTCTGATTGGGTCTAGACCAGGCAAAGCATTAGACAAGCCATAGTCTAGAGCTAGGCCTATTTGTGTAGAGATGGCAGCAAGGGCAGATGGAAGTTTGCAGGCCACAGTCTTGAGGTAGGCCTATAGGTACTTATTCTTTATTACTTCATTTTTATCAAATAATTTTCAAAAACAGGAAGGATATTTGGCAGGAAAGCAAGAACAGGCCCTAAAAGTGTAGCTCAATGGTAAGGTATTTGATTAGTACATGTGAAGCCCTGGGCTATATACCATGGGGGAAAGGAGAAAATGACTGTAGGCAGCCCACTATCAAGTCTTTTAGAAAACTATAAGGAGTTGGTACAACAGTTCCTCCCTCCCAGCTTATATTCAGTGCTTGTTCAAATGATTGATGCTGAGTGTCCTTCTTACTTAAGGCAATGATGAGCTCAGGTTGGCTTGTATAAACATCATTTTCAAAGGTCCTTAAAAATATGGTGAGTTTGGAATTAGGTCCAATTGTCAATTCATTACACCCACATCCTTGTCAGAAAGGTTTATCTGACATAACTGAAAACAAACAAACAAAAAAATGCTTCCATAGAAGTTCTTCTGGACCTCCTTTAATTAATGAATACCATTTAAAAGTGATTTAATTAGCATATTTTAAACTTGTGTGTAAACAGGTGGTTTTCAATTGGCTTAACAACTTTCAAGTATACTTTCAAATAGGCTTTATGCACATTGCTCATTTGCCCCAAACTTTCTCAGATTATAAAATGAATGAAACCTCTATTTTACAGCTAATACCCACTTATCAGTGAGTACCATGTTTTTCTTTCTCACTCTGGATGGTTTTTTCTAATTCCTACCATTGGCCTGCAAATTTCAAGAGCTAAGTAATACTCCACTGTGTAAATGTACCATGTTTTGTTTATCCATTCCTTGGTTTAGGGTCATTTGTTTCCAGGTTCTAGCTATTATGAATAACATTGCTATGAACATAGTTGAGCAAGTGTCCTTGTGGTACAATTGAGCATCCTTTGGGTATATGCCCAAGAGCAGTATAGCTGGGTTTTCTGAGAAACTGCCGAAGTGACTGTTTGCACTCCCATCAACAATGGAGGAGTGTTCCCTTTGCTCCACGTTCTCGCCAGAATGGGCTGTCACTTGTGATTTTGATTTTAGGCCATTCTGACAGCTGTAAAATGAAATCTCAGTCATTTTGATTTGCATTTCCCTGATAGTTAAGGGTGTTGAACATCACCTTGGAGGTTCTTCTTTTGAGAATTCTCTACTTAGGTCTATACCCCATTTTTTACATTTATTTTATGTGCAAAGGTTTAGGTCTCCTAGAATTGGAGTTACAGATGGTTATGAACACCATATGGGTGCTAGTAATTGAACCAAGCAAGATCCTCTGGAAGAGCCATTTTCCAGCGCCTGTACCCCATTTTTTAATTGGATTGTTGAAATCTAGTTCCATTAGGTTCTTTAAATATTTTGGAAGTAAGCTGTCTATCGGATGTGGAGTTGGTGAAGATCTTCTCCCATTCTGTAGGCTGCTGTTTTGTCCTATTGATGGTGTCCTTTGTCTTACAAAAACTTTTCAATTTCATGAGATCCCATTTATTAATTGTCAATCTTAGCAACTATGCTACTAGTGTTCTGTTCGGAAGTTGTCCCTTGTGTCAAGTATTCGAGATTATTTCCCATATCAAATTCCGTGTATTCAGTGTATTTGGTTTTATGTTGAGGTCTTTACTCCACTTGGACTTGAGTTTGGTGCAGGGTGACAGATACAGATCTATTTGCATTTGTCCACATACAAGACATCTAGTTAAAGCAACACCATTTATTGAAGATGGTTTTTCCCCGTTGTATAATCTTGGCTTCTTTGTCAAAGTTCATGAGGGGATGCCCAGATCTCCTGGGGAAATAGAAGAAATTTCATGAGTAGATTGAGGGTGGGTGGGGATGGGAACATGAGCCATCAGGTTGGGCAGGGCAAAGGGAGAGAGTATCATTTTGGGGTCAGGTAAAAGACTGTTGCAAGGGCATCTCCCAGGAATCTAAAAAGAAAACCCCAGCTTAGACCCCTACCGATAGCAAATACATAGCCTGACCATTTCCTGTGACCATATTGGTGCCTAGTCCACTTGTCATCAGAGACACTTTATCCAGCAACTAATAGAAACAATAGAAATAGAATCCTGAAGTAAGGATTGTAGGAGCCAGAGGGGTCAAGAATACCACAAGAAAACACAGAATCAACAAACCTGGGCTCATAGGGGCTCACAGAGACTGAACCAATGACCAGGGAGCCTGCATGGGACTGACCTCTGCATATGTTATGGTTGTGTAGGTTGGTGTTCTTGTGAGAGTCCTGTTGGAACCCTATTTCTCTTACTGCATTGCCTTGCCCAGTCTTTAGTCTTACTGCAACTTGATATGCCATACTTTGTTAATATCCATGGGAGAGGCCTGCCCTTTTCTGAACAGAAATGGAGGAGGGGGAACTGGGAGGACAGAGAGGAAACTGCAGTCCAATGTAAAATAAATAAACTTATTCTTAAAAAAATAGGGGCTGGAGCCGGGCATTGGTGGTGCATACCTTTAATACCAGCACTTGGGAGGCAGGCAGATCTCTGAGTTCAAGGCCAGCCTGGTCTGCAGAGCTAGTTCCAGGACAGGCTCCAAAAACAATACAGAGAAAACCTGTCTCAAAAAAAAATAGGGGCTGGAGAGATGCCTCAGCGGTTAAGATGGCTGGATGGCTGTTCTCCTGAGTTCAATTCCCAGCAACCATATGGTGGCTCACAGCCATTTATAGTGGGAAATGATGCTCTCTTTTAGCATCTACATAAAATTATCTTTAGAAAAATAACTGAACAAACCTTTTATTACTTTTCTTATATAGATTTTGGTTTTATAATCTTAACAGCAAGGGATAGGGAGAAAGAAAGGTGATCTTCCAGTGCTGAGATCAGTTAGATTTCCTCTAAGCAAACAACCATTGGCTGTGGTAATGATGAGGGAGAGTTGGGATATCTAACAGGTATGGTAGGTGTTAAACTTATTCAGACTTTTTTTTGTTTCCCAGATATAATTCAGGAAGATAAAGATGAATTCTACTCACCATACCTGGAATTTTAGCCAATGAGAATCCATGAGTGACTAAGAGTATAACTTCCTCAGGAGAACCATGACCCCCAGCAGGAAGAAGAAAGCCCTTACAAGCGAACCTCAAAACACAGGGTCTTTATCTGAAAAGGAAAAAAAAACTGAAATTTGAAATAATATTCAAGAAAATGCAATTACCTTTATTTTTCTGGTTGATTACAGCCAGAAAATTTTAATTTTGAACACTTATGAACACTTGTAAACTCTATCATACCAAATAACAACAAAAGTTAAGTCAATAAATGTGACCTTCAATGAAGTTACTTTTTCAAAAGCTGCTCACACTGGCCACTCTCTGCCTGCCCTGGAGCCAAGCTCCCACCAGAACCCTCCCAGGATGCCTCAGCTACCCCAGTTGGTACGGAACATGTCATGTTCTTCTCTGTGGGTTAACCTGGTGAGTACCCCAGAGCTCCCAATCCACCCCTTCTTCCCAATCTGCCATACCAGTGCCAGCCCAGTCTGACCACCCCCACCTGTACAACAGATAAACTCTTGGCCTCCATTGGGTCCCACTTGTGATGCAGCCCGGGCTTGTGCTACAACCACCCATAGATCCCTTCTGCATAGCTTCCAACCAGACCCCTCACATCACCTCCAAGGATAGCCTAGGTCCCACATCCTAGGCTAGAACCACAGCCAAGTTTTGGACTTACACCAAAACCAGCCCCAATCTACACCCACCCACGGAACCTTTCTGAGCAGCTTCCAAACTTGGTACCCAGACTTCCCAAATCCTTCTCCCAGGTTCTAACCAGGTGAGCTGCCCTGACCTCCCATCTATTCCTTTTCTACAACTGTCCAAACCTAGCCTGGGTCCGACAACCAGTGTGGCAGCCTAGTCTGACCTTCCCTGCTTGCACTGCAAAGGGACTCTAGACTTGGGTCAGGGTCTTCCTTACCTGTCTCTCCAACCACAGGACTCTGCCAGGCCTTAACTTTCCACAAAGCTAAATCTACCAATAGCCTCCATGTTTGGAAAAGAAAACACATTCTATATTCCAGCCTAATCCCTTCTCTCCAGACCTAACTTCATTCCACCCATTTTCAACCTAGAGCCCCAACCTGCTCTGTCCATAATAAAATCAGAACAAAAGTCCACATGCCAGATCTCATCCCAAGAATACCAAGAACCTGAAAGATCAAGCCAGAATGTTCTCTGTTAAGTCCTATACAGGTGTTTGCCCATGAGAAATACCTAGAGATCATGAAGTTTATAGAAGACACAAAGAAACAGCTCAATGAAATTAAGGAGAAAAAGCTAAAGAGAATAAACACCAGGAGTGATGCCCAAGAAAGCACAAACATAAGGCTAATGGAAATGACAAAGACAATCAAGACTTGAGAATGAAATTCACCTGGGAGAGAAAAATACTGAAGAGGACTCAAGGCCGAATTAAGATGGAACTAAAAAAACCAATGGCTCAACTAGGAAACTCAAAAGAGAACCTTAGAAGTAGGGTCAATCAAGCAGAAGATCAGATATCAGGACTCGCAGTAAAGTAAAAGATCTAGACCAAATCAGCAAGGAATATGAAAGAGAATTTTTTTTTAAAAAAAAAACCCACAGGAAAGGAACATGCAGGATATGTGGGACACCATGACAAAAACAAACCTAACTATAGCCATAGATAAGGAAAAGAATCCCAAGTCAATGGCATAGAACAGATCTCAACATCATAGAAGAAAATTTCCCCAAATTAAGCAAAGACATATACAAAAAGCACACAGACTATCAAATTAAAAATACCAGAAAAGGAAAGCCCTATGGGCATCAGTAAAACATTAATTATACAAAACAAAGTGTATTGAAAGCTACAGGGGAAAAAAAACTTCAAGTCACATATAAAGGAAAATCCATCAGAGTAAGCTCATTTCTCATTGAGAGTCTAGAGCAATGCAATGCATTCCAAGTCCTAAAAGACTATGGATGGCCAAACTGGACTCATATACCCAGCAAAACAATCAACCATGTTGGAGAAAGAAAACCTTTCCATAACAAAACTGCCTGAAATATTTTATGTTCAACAAACCAAATCTAATTGAAATGTAGTGTTAGTTCATGCTGAGCATGAAAGAAAGAGGCATGATTATCAAAAGACAAGTTACCATTGAGAACACAACACAAAAAACACCACAATGACCACAATTAACACAGGCATTTCAGTAATACTTTAAATAATCTGTTGCCTACAAGAAACATTTGGTTTTTAAAATAGGTACTGCTTTAGGATGAACAAAAGTACTCCAATCAAATGGGACCAGGAAGCAAGCAGGCATTGCTATCCTAGTACTTGATGAAATAAGACTTCAACTGAACTAATCAGAAGACTAACCAAGAAGACATTATGCACCAAACTGAGGTGCTCCCAATTTTATTTTAAATCTATTGGATTTAAAAATATTTCAATCCATGATAGCAGGTGACTTCAATACCCTATTTTGTCCAATAGATAGGTAAATGTCCTGAAGAGGGGCACACTCCCTGCTTCACCTAGTGCAGTCCTGATTTCCAACTGCTGCCAGCACCATTCTTAACTAAAAGCATTCCCCTTTTACTCCCAAAAGCATTCTGGTTTGAACATCTACCTGTATAGTCACACCACATGAAAGGCACAGACTTAAAGGCATGACTGGTGATACAGGTGGCAAGGACTTCTGCAAAGGCAAAAGAGGTTAGGTCAAGGGTCATGAGATGGGAGTCATGACAGGGAGGGGTCAGCCCAGGCACAAGTACTCTCAGGAGTCACCAGAGTTTGTTCAAGATATAAGAGTCTGTAGTTGAGGAAAACTACCAACAGCAGTAATCATGATCAAGAAGGGAGGGCCAATTAGTGCTGGGAGCTAACAGAAAGGAGAATTCTCTGGGCAGCAAGGCATTTTCAAACATGGGAAAAGGGTGCCTAAAAGAAACTACAAATTGTAAAACTTGGGAAACTAACTTTCTTGGTTCCCCCTAGACCCACCTTGCTCCCTACAATCTCTCCCTATTTCCTAGAACCTTAATTCTAGCTCCAACTCAGCCTAATTCCCAAAGGAATTATGAGATCACATCCAGCACTAAGTCTGCCACTGCCTAGATCTCAACCTTGGCAAGGTTTGAGCAGCCAGCTCCTGAGTCCCAGGTGGGTGACCCGGTGTCATTCATGCATGTGGACTTGAAGCCTGTGTTTTCTCCTCTCCATATCTCCACACCCTGATCTCTGTGTGGCATTCTTCATTGTTAAAGTACTGTGGCATTCAACAAGTGTAACCTCTAGGTTTTCTTGTGAATTCAAGATTGCAGAGAACAGGAAGAAATGTTTCAGGAAAACCCCATGCTCTTCAGGGAAGAAGTCTTGAATTCTGGGTAGTATCGATAGTAATTTTTCTTTCTAAATGCTGTAGTAACTAGGTATGCATACTGTTAACATCCAGATGGTGAGTTTATTAAAAAGAAATCTTGAATATTCCTGTGATGGTGTCAAATTTTAAAACCCTGCTAGGAACCAAGAAAGTGGCACATGCCTGGTAATCCCAGAACTCCAGCAAATGAGGCAGGGAGAGCATTAAGTGTAATACCAGCCTGGGTTATATAAACAAGTTTATGAGGTTTGGAGCTGTAGCTCAGTAGAGTTCTTCTCTAGAAGAACTCTAGGGTTCCTAGAAGAACTGTGGGTTCAAGCCACAGCAACAAGGAAAAGAACCCAATATTAATACATGAGACTTCCTTAAACAGAACAATGCTCCCAGGCCTAACCTACTTAGTGGGATTTCCATAGATTTTAGCATCTTGGGACAAATCATGGCCACATGTACTTGTTCCCATCAGCGACAGGGTCACTTCTCTAAAGACTCACCTATGGCCAAGGAAAGTGACACTATCCTGACTCTTAGCTTTGTCTCATGTTATAAACCCTAGTTAAGGGGGGGGAAAAAAAAGGACTATGGGTCTAGAGGCCCACATCTATACTTGTAGGTCTCAAACTCTTTAGAGGGACTCATATCAGATATTCTGTATATCATATACTTACAATTCATAACAGTAACAAAATTAAAGTTATGAAGTGGCACAAGTTGAGACGCGCGAGCTTTGCTTTGCTAAAAAAGCAGTAACTGGGCATGGCAGCCGCCGTCCGCGGGAAATTAAAGTTATGAAGTGGCACAAAATAATTTTATGGTTTGGGGGGGTCACTACAACATGAGGAAATATATATATATTGAAGGGTCAGTGTCAGGAAGATTGAGAACCAGTGCTCTAGCCTGAGGGGAGGTGGAGGGCCAGAAGTGACTTCATTCTAAAATGTACTTCGAGGACTAAGTGTAAGGTCAGTACTAAAACTGCCATCCAGGCTGGGAAGCAGAACCTGTAGTGGAGGGTCCTGGTCACTGCCATGCAGCACAGGGACAGGGACTGATTCCCCACAAAATGTCCTGGTGAAACATGGCATTTCCAATACAGCTCTTTTTCCAAATGAAGCTAGCAAAAGGGAACTTATGAAAACCTGTCATTCTCCCAGGAAAAATTCTTGTTTTGAAACACTGATTACCAACCAAACTGTGGATGAGAGCAGTGACAGGAGACCTCCCATCAGTGAACCAGCCTCATCCCGGGGTCCATGCAGAGAATCCCAATTCAAGGAGGTACGAGTTTTTAGTTTTGCCTCCTAGTACCTTTGCAGTCATAACCAAAGCAGAGAATAGTACATGATTTCAGAAGCCAGCCAGCCACCTTACAACATCTTCAGGAAATTCTGCACTCCCTTAGGGCTTGCGAAACCCCCATATCTTGTAGACCAAAAGCAAGTTCTCAGTCACCCACCTCTAGTTTGCATAAGCAAAGAAAGTGGAAGATAGTTGTTTTCTGCCTGACCTGAGTCAGCCAACCTCAAAAGGCTTGTGCGGGAATAAAGATAACAACAAAATGCACTTGACCTCAGTGAGAGCTCTTACTACTTAGATCACCAGGCAAAGCTAGTCTAAATAATAAAAATGTCTTAAAATCAGCACACAAAAACCACACAATTTCATGACATACAAGATCTTCAGAGCAAACCACTTGATGTTGTCTGTAATACCCTTAATCTTCACTTTTTTTTAAATATGGAAAAATGGCAGCACCCTCCCATACACTCTTAGTTTTTGCCATCCTCTCGTTGTCCTATTAACACAGTATCTATCTTAGGCAGGGAGAAATGACCACACAGCATTTTATACAAAGCCTTTTTCACTATGGTCACATGGCCATGGTTATCCAGAATTCTAACCTCCCTTTCCATA